CACTTAAGCCTGGGGAAGCAGCTTCCTCAGATTGAAGCAATTCCTGGACAGGAAATCATCATTGAGCTTTCGGCAGCCTGAGCTCCCAGCAATGTCTCAGTCCATCTTGCAGCTGTTCTTCTTTCTGGATGTACAGTCATCAGTGATTTGATGTCAACTCGGCCTGTTTGTCCATCCGTGATCTCATCCTCAGCCCCTGTGGGGAGAGTGCTTTACTGTGACTGTGTACACTGTTCCTGTGTGTTCTGGAAGATTTTCAAATGTCCAGGGAATTTGTCCTTTGGTGTTGACCACCCTTTTATTTCTCTCTTCTCGCCCTCAGATTCTGGACCTGCATTCAAGGCAGTATGAGTAGCAGGCACCTCCTCTACGTAAAGGAGCCTATTTCCTCCAGTTCTGTCCCACTGCTTTTAGGCCAAATTTGTGCATCACAAAACTGTCTTCTCTTATGATGAGAAGGTCTTAGGTCTCTCAGAACTTCTTGAGCCAGAGATCCAGCTCTCTGGTTTTCTTGGTATAAACTGAATTTACACTTCCTGTCGGAATCCCAGGTTAATTGTAGGAAGACTTTCCAAGCCCCACACTACACTTGATTGGAATCCTGACTTTGACTAGGTGATTGGTTAGTGGAGACCCCAAAGTGTTTATAACCATCTGGTCTGCAGCCCTGAATGCTGTCAGCATGAACAAGTGGGAAATGCAGCTTGCTTTCACTTATGCTTTCCTCTGTTGTAACATTTTCCATTACTTACCCTCTTCCTGAATTTAGCCTTTACCTTCCTTTTCTGTGGCTTTTTTTCCTCTCCCACATTTTCTATTCTAGTTTGTGTCTGTAATAAGCATCCCATGTATTGTTCTAGTCCATAGGTTACATTCTTTTTTCCAGGAAGCTCTATTGAAAAGAGCATCACAAGGCCAGAGAGATAACCTTTGGCTGATGTGGGAACTAACAGTGCCTCGTTGTGATGGAGAAGTGCCTTGGTTCTTCCCATATATCTTTTAAGAAGAAATAAGGAATTGTTTCTTTTTGAATTAAACTTCAGTAGGTAGCAGTGCCTTTGCATTCAATACTATAAAATTCCCCAGTTAGGGCCTCCCCGGTGGCGCAGCGGTTGAGCGCTGGGTTGCAAAGCTGCCCGCAGCCTCTGCAGCACCGGTTCGATCCCTGGCTGCTCCCCAGCCACCGGAGGAGGGTCCCACATGGCGCGCAGACCTCTCCTGCCGCCCGCTGCTCCCCTCAGCAGTGTACTTCGGTCCTTCTGCCTGCTCTGCTCCCCGCTCTGACTCTGGTGAATTCTCTCACCCTCCCGCACTTCTGACTGTACCCAGTGCTTGCATAAATAAATAAATAAATATTTAAAAAAAAAAAAAAACTTAAAAAAAAATGATCAGAATTAATTATAAAAAAAAAAAAAAAAAATTCCCCAGTTATTTGAACACATAATCGCCAAATCTCAGAAGTTTTATTTTTCACTTATACAAATGCCAGTGTGGGTTACAGGAACTTCTGGAAATGGTAGTTCCTCCATGTGGCTTTGCAATATTGGGGTTATTCGCCTCTAGCAGAGTAAGTGGAGAAGAGGGGAACAGAGAATCTTATTGCCAGCCCTGGATCTGCTCCCTAACCATCAGATCACTGAGCAGAACTCAGTGGCTCTAATAATTTGAGGAGAAAAATTCACATTACAATTCAAGGTAAAATACCAATTGCAAGTAAAAGAGCTGCTGAGAAATAAATACCTGGTCAAATATTGACTATACAAAAATGTCCACAGAAGGTTCTCTATTTGCATTCATTGTAAAAGGGTGCTGGGAAGAATAGTCTTCCTGGTGCCCAGGGAAGTTGGTCACCACTAGTAAGTAGTCTCTGTCATAACCTCTAAAAATGAAAAAGAAAAACGAACTGTGGATAACAACAATAACTAAAGTAAAAATATATTGATGTGAGTAAGCTATCGTTAGTAACCAGTAGGACAGGCTTAGTCAAGCCCTGTGGAAACCATTCATGGCAAAATTTTCATTTATTTGTGAGTTCCAAAGCTTACAATAGTCTAATAATTCAAAAAATAACGGGTTACTTTAAATTTAATGCATATTTTGTTATGCAGTTCTCATTTCTCAGATGCCCTATCTTTCCTCCAGGACAGAATTACTGCTTCCTCCTCTGAATTCTCTCTCTCAGTGCATTGTTCCTGTCTGTTGAGCAGAAGTTGGGATAATCCCAAGGAATCCCAAGAATTCCTAGGGAGCAGGAGCTGGAGGTCCATGTTCCTTGGCCTTCCAGGTCTATGCTGCCCTCACTGCTCCCTTTTTTATAGTAACTTTGTGAAGGAGAATTTAGCATCCAACTGAGTTTGTGACAACAGCCAGAGTGAACTGGCTACAGGAGACAAGTCTGATGAGACTACATTCTAAGGGGAGTTGCCTATGCAGCTAGCAGCACCTGGGAACTTTTGGAAGCTTGGCACTGCACCCCTTTGGGGGGAGGAAGTGCCACCAAGACCATTTGGCTCTTCACCAGGGACCTGGAGAGAGCCCCAGGGAGATCATTCAATAGACAATCTCATTTTTCTTTATATCTCTTTTATAATGCCTAGTCTCTTTTATTGTATTCTATTTTTTTTTTACTTTTTTTTTTTAAGGATTTATTATTTATATAAGATCCAGGGTACAGGCCAGATGCACAGGAGGGTGAGAGGATTCACCAGAGACAGAGTGGGGAACAGAACAGGCAAACTGATGAAATATACTGCTGAGGGGAGCAGTGGGCGAGACAGGAGAGGTCTGCTTTGCCATGTGGGATTCTCACCGGTCGGGATTGAACCTGCGCTGCAGAGGCTGCAGACAGCTTCACAGTGCAGCTCAACTGCCTGTGCCACCAGGGAGGCCCTCTTGCCTTCTGTATTATTCTTTCTTTCAAAGAGCACTATGTGTCTCCTAATAATTGAGGGTTACATTTTATTCACCTCTATTTTCCTAGCACCCAGAATGGCTTATGATACAGAGCAGATGTAATTAACCAATGACTGTATTAAGGAAGCAACAATGTAGACTTTTGTTTCTTTTTCTTTTGACTTGTAACATTTTTAAATTGCAGTAATGGTCAGTTCACAATGCTTTACATGATTCAGGGGTATAGGTTCATGAATGTTACCACACCTTGCCTACCACCCAAGCACCCACAATCCTCTACCATAGTGAAATCTGGACTCGTTTTTAGGAGATGATAGTTGAACCTAGAATTCTAAAGATGAATTAAGAAATGTGTGAGTAAAAATATTTCATGCTTCTCTTCCTCACTTTTGGAAATTTTAAGTACTTCCCTTTGATAGTATGATTATAATAATTTCAATCAAAATAATGTCAAACATCAAGTAAGTATATTAATCAGTTCTTAATATGGAAATAACTTCTTCCTATTACTTGTCCACAGTAGGTCATTTCTATACACTGAATCAATTGACAAGTTTAAGGAAAAAATCTAGACAGGAATGCAATGTTTACATAGTTAATTCAGCTGAGAGTGACATCAAGGTAGGGAAATACCCAGGTAGGGAATTATACAATGAAGGTCTTACTGTGGTTGTTTTAACTTCCAGATCAGAAATTTGAACTATATTTTATATATGATGAGAAATGACATGTCCAAATCTGTGATGTTTGTGGGTTTTCAGAGGATGGACTGAAGAGAAGAGACTGAAAAGAGTGAAAGAAGAAAAATACAATAATGCACACAAGTCACATGAATCCCGTCACAAGTCACGGGAGTCTATACTAGAGTAGGGGTAGTAGAAAAAGAGCAAGTGATATGCCAATTACATATCAATGGTAGAAAGAGAATTGATAAAATTTGGTGATGGAATGAGTAAGGGAGAGAAATAACTAATGAAAATGGAGAAACTGGACCCCCTTCCTAAACTCTTATAATAATATGATTGGCTAAAACTGGGTAGAGATAATTTGAACTTTGTTCCATGGAAACTCAAGAATAATACTTTTAAAAACCTGATCTGCTCGTTGCCCCTATTCTATTCCCATATGCTTGATGACTTGGTGAGCTCCTATAGGGGATATCCATAGTATTTCATTGTGGGGTGTGGATAACTATTCAATACGAATGAAGCACAGGTTCATGAGAAGCTGGAGTTGAATACGCTCTGCTGGCCACGGCACCATCGTGGTTATATTTAAGCTATCTGCTGGTGTGCCCCACAGAGATACCTGTTTTCCTACTGAAGCAATGCCTAGGACTACTACAGATCAGAGTAATTTAGGCAATATCTTCTGGTCAGTAGGGGGCAGTGTTGCACAATAGACTGTGCACACATAGTGTCCTCAAACTCAATGCAATCCTTAGCTCTGTGGCTTTCCCTGGACCCCAGGATTCCCGAAACTGGGTTGTTAAAGCATCTTCAGAATGAGCTGGAATTTTCTTTTAAAGTATAAATTCCCATGGAGAATTCTGATTCAATCAGCCTGGGATAGGACCCCTAAGATAAGTGTTTTATTTTGCTTTGTTTTTAACATTCTAGGTAATTTTAATAGCTAAATATCAGAAATGGTGTTTTAATCTTTGTGGGTCTCAGTTTTCATAGCATTTCTATGAATATCACATGAGGACTTTTATAAACTTTAAGACCCAGTAAAATCAATTGTTAATTATGTTACTTCATGAAATAACTTTACCATTTTTTAAAGTGATTTCTTCAATTTCTCATCAGTTTGAGGTTTGACTCTATGAGAGGGTATTCGCTTTTCTTTTCTTTTCTTTTCTTTTCTTTTCTTTTTTTTTTTTGCCTTGTGATGACAAAGAGAAAAAGAATGTGTCATGTCCAATACATACATAAAATGTATTAATAATTGGTGGCAAATTTAGATATTGAAGAGATGATAGAAAGTAGAAGACTTGCTGGAATGTTTGTTAAATCTGAGGAATAAATGCAATGTTTAAAAATGGCAATTGTAAACAGAAATTGCTTCTACATAAGATAAAACTCACATTTATTATTAACCCTGTAATAATTTAACTTACAAGTATATTAAGTCTCAGTTTGAAGAGCAGTAGCTTAAGTTAAATACCTTCTCTTGTTTATCCCCTTCAAGTGAAAAACAATCAAAAAGCAAAACAATACTAGTAACAAAAATAACAATGGTGTTTTTGAAACACATACTTTTTAGATAGATTTTAGCAGCTCAGTAGATCTATATGTAATGACCCGCGTGCCAGTTCATCTTAAAGCTCACAGCATGTTTAATCAGTCCTTGTTCACAGTTTCTGTGTAAACTGGATTTCTCATTTCTGAGGGATTTTCTAGGCCCACAGTTTTGTTCCCCACAGTCCCACAGTATCTCCTTGCATCTACTGTCTCTTAATTAATTTTCATCTTGCTTATGCTTCTTCAGTTCTGTGCCTGAATCACATCCATGTTAATCCTTTTGAATCATTTGTTTTACCCCGGGGTCCATCCAGTCACCCAAAAAGGCCATTGTTCATCCAGGGAGCCAACTGGCACATTCCTCTTGTACTTCATGCGGTCTTTAATTCCCACCATCCATGGACCTGTCACTTTAGGCTGTTAGCCTGAAGGTCATTCAGAAGATTTGAGTACATGTCTGATTTGAGGAACCTGGGGTAAGAGTCCTTTTCCATGAGAGTATAGATGATCTTTTGGGCTTCATCAAAACAGGTGACAGTTGGTGTCTTGACCTTCTTTGCAGTAGCTTCTCGAGTGCGAAAGTCAATATTGATCTAAAAAGAAATCCTCATTAGTTAACCAATACTTCCAATTTATCACAAAAATTATGATGTTACTCTATTTTTTTGAAGCACCTCAAATAGTGGTTTTGTGTACTCAGTTAAATCAGTTCAAATATATCTCTTGGATGTCTGTTCTCAACCAGCTCTGTTCTAGAGTAGAGAAAGTTAACTGATGGTGTATTTGGGTGGTGCAAAAGAGCAGACATTAAAAATTTAAATCACCACACAAGGTGATACATGCATCAAAAAGTGACAAAGACATTTAGAATTTACAGATAGAGAAGGAACTTGTGCAACTATCATCTTCTGGGACCAAGAATAAACTGGAAGGTGGGCACTACTATTAACTGAAAATATTTTTTTTTCCATTGCGATTGTAGGCATTAAATTAATTTGTATTTTATGCTAATCCCAGATGAGATAGCGCATAAGGGTGACTGACATGAAATTCTGGGCAAATACTCCTTCCTCCATTGCTATCAAGTTAGGTGGTTTCTCAAGATCAATCTTTTCACCCTACTGTGTTGAAATATTCACAAATCTAGAACATAAGATGATTGCTGCAGTGAACTATATGAATATACCTTGATAGCTAACAGTGAAATCATGACTTTTTTGGGGGGTCTAAGTTCTTTAAAAGTAAACTGATGACAATGATCTTAATGCTTACTTGTTTAGCAGCATCTGAATGTACAAATGCTTTATATATCTTCTCTGCTTTGCAATGCAAAAGATCAGACTCTGTTTTTTTATAGTCTTCACAAGCCAACCAGAATTCAATATTCTCCTCACTGAACTCAGACTTTAGGAAATTTCCAAAGACATCTTGACCAGCTAAAAAGAAAAGGTGAGGGGTGAGAAAATCAAATTAATGAATGATTAAGTTGAAGAAGAAATTTGCAAGAAAAAATACTATTGCATTCTCTATGTAAAAGGGAAAGCTTCTGCTGGAATAGCTGTCATAGTTTGCAGAAATGGGAAGGCCACATACAGGCATTAAATGATACAGGCATTAAAAATAGTCACAAGGATACGGAGAGGATCCTTTCTTGATTACAGAACCATATTTTTACTTCTATATACCAACTTTTAGTTGGAATATAGAGTATTTTAGCAAAGCAAACGTTGACAAAGGCCATTGACATCCTGTTAATCATTAACAAATATAATTTTCCTACTCAATTCATATTGATCAGAATGACCAATGAGTGAGGCCTCCGTGTCACCTATGTTACTGAGGCATTTTGATGGGACATCTTTACCCCTTTGTTTAGCTGAAGCCAAAATTAAGTCAGATAATAAGATGGGTGAACCATCTTGAACTACTTGATCCCCAGACAAGACTCCTTAGGTTGTTTGTGGGGAGAAGAGGATAAGATCACCCATTGGGTAGAGACCAACTCGAACAAGGGCCTAATCTCAGCAGAGCTACAGTGCCCATCATGGGAGGGGACAGACTGCTTTCATTCCTTACTTATTCTCATCAAAAACTCCCTCCAAAAATCTGTTTAAATTCATTTCATTGTATCTATGCTATAACAGGCATCACATTTTACATAATCAATTATATATGATATCTCCACTGCCTTCGAGGCAGCGAGACACTATCATTTGTGAATCCTTGTTGCGTCTGCAATCCCTGCCACATACCAGCAGGGTGAATGAGTGAGTTAATAAATGCACGACTGATGAAATAATGAATTGACTTAATAAATCCAACTCCTTATATTCAACAGCCAAAAATGCAATCTGTAGGTTGCATTCAGAATGGTAGTTCATATAGTGATGCTTTGCTTTTAAAAACCTTACTTCAGAATCCCAGCATAATTTTCAATCTTATTATAATGATCCATGGAAACACCTAATTATCTTGATAGATTTGTCAAAGGACAGTGGCAGAACTTTTTTAAATATTATACTATAATGAAGCATAGTATCTGAAACTACCATGATCATAGAAAAACAAGAATATAACTTTCTGCATGTCTCCTATCTGGAATGCTATATTTTAGTGAAGTCATTCAGTGCATTAGGATATTGAGCTGAACCCAGAAGCATTCAATTATTAATCTATACTTACTTTGATTGGCAAGAAGTTTTTCTAGAGATTGAGACCACTGTATTACTTCATCAGCAGACAGTCTGCAGGGGAGAAATTCACATAAATTAGTGAAAAATTTTTTCTATCGGCACAAATGGAATTAGAATATCAATCACTCTATAAACTCAGATTCTAGTTTTAATAAATTTTAGTAAAGTTTAAGAGAAAATATCCCTTAGAATTGCTATCTTTATGAAAATGTCTGCTAATGAAATGTGAGAAAATTGACTTCTATTGATATATCCTCCAACAACTGATAGATGTGAAATATGCAGACACTCCTTTGTATTTAATTTTCATTGGTGCTAATATAGTCTAATTTATTAGACTTTTTAATAGGATTCATTTCTTATGAGCAGTATTATAAGCAGTATTATGAATCTTTAGGTAGAACACAGTGCTAATGCATAGGCCACACTTAATGACAGGTCAATGTATGAATGTACATACATGTCTTTGGACTTGGAACGCTTCATTCCAGATTCCAGATGTGGGAGCATAGATTTCAGATAAGCTTTCATGTCCATTCCACTACAAAAGACACAAAATTGAACATTCATATTTTCTCAGTAGAATACATTTTAATTTTAGAAAAAAAAGAGCATGAAATAAATTTCTCAAGGAATAAGGCAATAATAAAAATATGATACAGCATTTTGCAATATTAAAGATAAAGCCAATTTTAGGAGCAAACATCTGGGAAAAAATCCCATCTAACTTAATTCCCTCTCATGATTCATTTTTTACTGCACTTGGATACACTATAACTCACAACAGGTAGTTGCTCAAATCTGACTTAGTTAAATGCTCATAATTTCTCCCATTCATTCCTAATCCTTCTTTCTTTAAAGATTATCTATGTCAGAGTCACAAAGTGAGACACTGAGTGAACTTACAAAACCTTAGGCCTCCTTTTTGGTGCTTTGTCTTCTAGAAGTGAGTGACCAGTTCCCTTCAGTTCTTTTGGGTGAGCAGAGAAGAACATCCCTGGCATATTACCTCTTCTGGGTGGAGATGATTGCTGCTCGCTTAGTTCTCACACAGCGAGTGTCTGCCAAGCGCTGTCTCTGCTGCTTTATATAGTGAGAGGAATGGGCTCTGGCTGTTCAAAGAAGTCTGTTTATCAAGTGATATTACCACAGACACTGGAAGTTCCCCCTTTCTCAGTGTGTTGTGACGTGTGTCTTGAAAAAAAAAAAGCATGCAGTGATGTCTTGTGGTTGAAACTTAACCAAATGAGAACAGGTCACTTGATTTGAAAAAAAGAAAGAACGTTAAACATACAGACACACACACCACAGTGTGAAAGTTCTAGGGCATCCTTGTCTCTCCTTAAAAATTGCCTGCTTCACCGATATGTTTCAGCCTTGCATATTCCTTGACTATAAAATTCATCTGATCAAAATATTATTTTTTTCTTTCTTTCAGGAAATAGTATAAATAAACAAATGCTTTTGTTTATTTGTATATCTATATATTTCTGATAGGGAGGAGAGATTTGAAAGGGTCTTTTCCCTTTTCCCTACTCTAACCCTCACCCCCTACTTCAATGTCAGTGGTAAGAAGTCTCCTTGTTAGTGCCTTCCCAGATGCGTGCTAGATATTCTACTAGTGTTATATAAGACGATTATTGCTTAGGGTAAAAATAAAGCAAAATTATAACAAAACTCTAATTAAATAAATGTAGAGCTTATTTACATTCATGAAAAAATGTGACATCAGAAGTAAATAAACTGATGCTATCAGAGGAAAATCTCCTTAAGGTTAAAAAAAAAGAGTATAGGGCCTCCCCGGTGGCGCAGCGGTTGAGCACTGGGTTGCGAAGCTGCCCGCAGCCTCTGCGGTGCCGGTTCGATCCCCGGCTGCTCCCCGGCCACCGGAGGAGGGTCCCGCATGGTGCGCAGACCTCTCCTGCCGCCCGCTGCTCCCCTCAGCAGTGTACTTCGGTCCTTCTGCCTGCTCTGCTCCCCGCTCTGGCTCTGGTGAATTCTCTCACCCTCCCGCGCTTCTGACTGTACCCAGTGCTTGTATAAACAAACAAATAAATAAATAAATAAAACATGCCTCTATTAAAAAAAAAAAAAAGAGTATATTTGAATTGACCAATAATGGGTGCTTCCTAGATGATGATCTTTCAGATTTTTGCAGGGCCTCTGGAGAAATATAGTCTGGCTTTAATTAAGATTAACTATTAAAAATAAAAAAACCTGGGCCTCCCCACTAGCTCAGCAGTTGAGCACTGGGTTGCAAAGCTGCCTGCAACCTCTGCAGCACAGGTTTGAATCCCGGACACTGGGTAAGGGTCCCACATGGCATGCAGACCTCTCCTGCCACCAGCTGCTCCCCTCAGCAGTGTACCTTGTCAGTCTGCCTGTTCTGCTCTCCGCTCTGGCGAATTCTCTCACCCTCCCATGCTTCTGACTATACCCAGTGCTTGTATAAATAAATAAATCAATCTTTAAAAAAAAAAAAAAACAACCTAAGGAATTTGAAGACTAATTGGTCAGGGTAGAGGATTTAGTGCAATATAAGCTTATATAGGTAATGTATCGTGTGTGGTTTACTTACAGACTGTCCAGTTTAACTTAAACCTCTGGATTTTGTACCTGAAAAGACAAAACAATTTTTTTCTTAGAGAAGTTTCTGATTAGGTTAAAGCTGACAAAAAGGAAGAAAGTATTTATTACTTTTCCTTTCTTGGTTATATGCTCAGGATGAAAATGTTTGAAGGATTCACATTTGTAATATTACAAATCTCACTTACTACATGGTCATGAACATTTACTATGTTGTATGTGACAATCATCATTTGATGTTAAGTAGATAACTCGGTGCAATAAGAATGAAAACTAATGAGATGAGCTGGCCACTTTGAAAGAGACCCAAACAAAACTGACAGGCTCAAAGCCATATAACATAAGGCGTGCGTTTGTGTATTTTTGTGGTTCACTCCACACTTTCTATTAAAATCTTCAGTGTTGCTCATGTTTGTTTATCTAGTACTCTCATTCCTTTAGATAACTGTAGGTAAGTTATGTTAGAGAAAAATGTTTCAAAATTTATTTTTAATGGCTTCCTGTTATTATTATGCAAATATACTGACAATTTCCAAGATGTGTTTCTGTGACAGTAGTTCCTTTGAATACTAATAAGCATTTTAAAAGCTACAGCAGTGGCAGTAGCAAAGGTTATGGGACCATGTAATTTTTGGGAGATGTTGGGTTAATGTTGAATAAGGTTCTTAAATCGATCAGTGCAGACCTGAGAGCCATCAGTATGTCCATGCACACTTATCAATCTTTCACGGGAGGGAAAAGGATGCAGCAGTTTCCTTAAACCCTCTTTGGATAGGAAAAATAGTTTGCAGAAAAAATATCCTCTTGACACCACATTGGGAAATTGTAATAGAGTTAGAAGTATTTCTCTCATATCTCTCTTACGTAATAATGATTCCTTTAAATCACCGATCTTTTGTTACCACAGTAGTCATTCAGGCTCAAACATGTGAAGCAACTACAATTGCTTTCAAACCCAAATAGAGATTTAAACTCCTGATGGGGGTGGTTTCCAACTGATCTTGCTATATTAAAGTTGGCTGTTGAAGCTATTTCAATGGTCTACTAATGTAGAAGTTGCTTGTAAGGTCATGCAAAACTTACATGTGCAGGAAGTAGGCAAATTGGATGAGGTGTTATCAGTAAGGGCTGAGTCCAGGACAGGATATTGAAAGTTCCCTATCAATTGCACTCGGTGTCACTGTATGATTCCTCTTTGTGAAATACATTCTGACAAGATAAAGAATCAAAATAACTTTGTGGGCCTCCCTGGTGGCACAAGGGGTTAAGCACCACACTATGAAGCAATCCGCAGACTCTGCAGCATGAGTTCAATCCCTCGCCAGCCAGGGAGATACCCCCATGGCGAAGCAGACCTCTCTTGTCTCGCCCGCTGCTCCCCTCAGCAGTGTATTTCAGTCCGTCTGCCTGTTCTGTTCCCCACTCTGTCTCTGGTGAATCCTCTTACCCCCCTCCCCACATCTCAAGGCCTGAACCCCAGCTCTTGTATGCATAAATAAATAAATCTTTAAAAAAAACAAACAAAAACAAAATAATAACTTTGTGAATCAATGGCTCTGGTTGAAATTGTAAAGGATTTGATAAAAACCCAATGGAAGAAATAATGGTTCTCACCAACATCATCTTGTTTGTATTTTTCCTTTGAAAAATTGTGTTTAAATAACTAAGTAGAAATCCTAAGAAAAGGAATATTTAAGAAAAGGAATATTTAAGACTATTTTAGAATAGTTTTAGGTTTACAGCAAAATTGAACAGAAAGTACAGAGAGCTTACATTACTCTCTCCACCCTGTTTCAATCATGCTGCACCTTCTTTCCCCCATCAATTTCCAAATCTGTGTGGTACTTTTGTTGCAATCCATGATAAATATCGCTGACTCATCACTGTCATCCAAAATCCTTAGTTTCATTGCAGTTCATACTTGGTATTATACATTCTATGGGTGTTGAACATACGGGTTTTGACAAATGTAAAATGACACATTTTACCTTAAGTACCATACAGAAGTTTCCCTGCCCTAAAAATCCCAGTGTTATACTTTAAAATATCTTGGAGACAAGTTTGATAAAACATCTCAGGTTATGGTTATTAATTTCAATGGGGAAAATTTTAATCTTTGCTGAATTGATTTTTACATTTCACACACTTCAATCACCTGAGCCCTAAAGGGAGTACTTTACTGAATGACTATTCAAACCTTGATGTTGATTAAACTAATGTTGAGCCATTATAATATTGCTAAAATCTTGTGGACATTAGGAATTATGGGAAAAGGACTATAATAAGGACAAGGAGTCCCTGGTATGATTGAAGATGGAAACCAGACTTTTGGCGATGATCACAATGTGCAGAATATATAGATGTTGAAGTATAAAGTTGTGTACCTGAGATTTACGGTATGTTATAAAGCAATATTACATTAATTAAAAAAATATATATATACCATAATACACACACATATACACAGAGTGACATGAACAGAAATTTTGACTCATTGAAACAAAATGTCTTGATTTAAACAAATTGTCTTTGCATCTTACAATGTATCATACATATTTCTACAAACAGAAAGAAGAATGAATCTCTGTAAATAGGGCAGAGAGATATTTAAGCAAGTAAGCTAAGTGAAGTGTGCCGAGAGTAATGTACACAGGAAAGTGATTAACTCTGGAAGCATGAGATGGGAAACAGAGCACTGTTGCCACTTACTACAAAATCAACATGCATCTCTTTTCTGCCTGTTTTTATACTGGAGATCAGCACCCCATGAAAAGTCCAAAAGACTGCAGTGGAGAAGCTGGTCTCCAGCAGCGGACCCTCTTCCATGTATAAAAATCATGGAAAAATGCATCCCATATGTAATTACAAAGCTTTGCAGAGTTTAAAAGGATCTCTGAAAGATTTTGTTGAAATAGTGTAGATACTCAAAGGTTAGGAAATAAAGACAAAGTCCTGTTTTTTTTTTTTTTTTTTTTTTGCTTTTTACTCATGCAGTTTCCAAGCTCAAAGATAGGGCTGCCAACAGTGTGTCAGCTATACTTCATAGAGTTTCTTTTAAAAACGTCAACAAAGATGACTTTTGAAGGTTTTTCTGTATGCCCAGGTAGAACATTGGTGGCGACATTGGTGCTTACTTTGTATCATTTGTGAATAAAAAGATTAAAGATTTCAGGTTTGCTTACCATTTTATTTTCTAATAGGAAGTCAGCTAATAGGTTTTAATATGAGGAGATGTCTGCAGCTTGGTGAAATTCAGTGAACTCAGTAAATGCAAACTGAGCAAGATAATAATCTAGTTTCTTTTTCTCATCCTGCTCTATTCTACTTATGGTCACACTGCACACCTCCTTTCTATAATTTAAGAGATTATAAGAAAATGAACATGGGAATTTCAGTGAACTGGGCTCATGTGATTTTATACATTTTATTCATACTAGATCTTATCTTACCAACAAAGTTCTCATAAGTAAGTCTCTCTTCTAATTCTTGAAAGTACTAAAGAAACCTTTGGATTAATCTTATGTCTGGTACACGGCCTCCATGATGGATTCATTTTCATTTATTATTACTTTATGATTTATAATCATTTCAACAAGGGAGAGCAGTCATGCTCTCTATTTGACTGCACTTTACAAATAAAATCCAGCATGTACCAAAGCAAGGGTCTTAGTCCCAAGTGCAAGTAAAAGGAAAATGATGCTGTAAGAACATGAATACATTATTTAGAGTTGGAGTAGAGTGTTTTATTACCTAATGTGGGCCATAAATGTACAAAGATACTCAGAGGGCGGCACTGAGAGACTATTTATAAAGAAGAAAATATTTTAATTATCAGAGAACGATTTGAATAAATCATTGTGCTAATTTTTCAAATATCTATTTGCAATAATTCCAGTGATTTGAAATGTCTATTTGAAATCATTCCAGTGATCTGCCTTTGCTTCTGTAAACAACAGTGATTTAGTTGCTTTGTTTTTCCCCATGAATTATGTCATTTTCCAAGACAAAAAAAAAATCTTATCAAAGTTTACTGACATTCTCCACTATTCCAAAATTCACCACAGTAACTGCACATTTTTCATGTTTTTTCTAATATTTTGCTTTTGTATTTATTTATATGTGTGTATATATATATAATATATATTATATTTATTTGCATGTGTGTGTGTATACACACTTGTTGGAAGACTGTGACTAGAAATAAATGTGAATCTGACATCAACACTTTGTTTTATATATATACACACACACATATAAAACAAAATGTTGATGTCAGATTCACATTTATTTCTAGTCACACTCTTCCAACTTGAGTAAGCACCTTTAAGTCAATAAATCGTGTCCATTCGCTGGTGATCCTACTATTATGTGGGTGCAAGTCGTGTGTGGTACTCCCTCTTTTCCTGTGCCTGCTCTGTTTTTTCAAATAGTTTGGATTTTATTACCTTATTTTTCATTTATTTTTTAATTAAATGAATGACTTTGTGATCACAAATTCCTATTGATATGCTTATCTTGCTGCATTGAATATGGCTGTGGGTTCAGTGTCAAGGCATAACTTTGACCCATTTGTGAGTTTGATCAAATCAGTTCATTTCTTGTCAGTTTCCTCTACGTAAAAGTCAAAGGTGAAAATCAAGTAATTTGCAGCTATGATCATGGTGTAGGGAGAGTTTTGCTTCTTTTGACATTCTATAGTGATCAAAAGTAGACCTAAAAAATTAGAATTTAGAAAGAATACTACGTCTTCTGTTTTCTTTCTACATTTAGAACCCTTTGCCTAGACTTCTCCTTCCTAAAAGTCAGTGAATTTGACAACCCAACTACTCTGAGTCCAACACTGTTCCTGGCACTGCCCCTCAGTATCCACTGGTTCAATCTTCTAGAATCTTCCTTTTCCTATAGAATTTCTTTTCACCTAGTTATTGTATTTATGTAAACCAATATGTTACACAAATGTATGAAGTCCATACAGATGTTAATGGTGTGGAAATATCACAGACTTTCTGCCAAACTACAATCTAATTGTCTTGCCATCTGCTTCTTACAGATACTCATAGCTGGAAATGTGGATCATTCCCAAATGCAGGCCTTCTCTAGCTTCAGTTTCTAAGCCAATCCTTAATGAGATTGGAAGGAGCTGATTTCTTTCAATTTGAATCAGGAGTGGTAGAAAGTTTCTGCTAGGAACTAATGTTGAATTGCCTGTTAAGGGATTTTTCATGGATGCTAGTGTCAGCAGCCCAATTTTGAATATTAAATATATTAGGCAAACCAGAACATAACTGGAAGTTTCCTGGAATAACTTAAGTAATGGAAGGAAATACTGAAACTTTCAATTTCAACTAAACCTAAGTGGGGCTTCAGAATCTTTAAAATTATGACTTCTCTGTTGAACGTGATAGCTACAAATTGGGAAGACATGCCTGTCCCCAACTTGTGACAATGACCCTCACTTCCAAATGTAGCAAATATCAGCTGTATAAATAGGCCCTGTGCTGTCTCTTCTTATCTCAGTTTTCTTCTGCTGTGTTTTGTCTTGTTTCCAGTTGGATTTGAGGAAGCAGAAAACCAGGGTAATGTATTTGGTGGGAACTCAAATTTAGAACAAGCACAACACCTTGCTTTCTTTTTTGCTTTAATGATATAGAAGATTAGGAAATATTAACTATAAACTGCTCTACATTTGTTTTCTTTGTGAAAATCAAGTAACTTTTACTTTGACCAAGTTTTGTCCCTCTTCTTTTTGTCATTGTGAGATGTTAAGTCCTGTTTTACTTTATCTGGTGTCTTGTTTATGATTCTTTGGCTTTTCTCCTGGTTGATTCTGTTTTGACCAGATTCATAGCTGAGACAGTAAGATCTTAAAACACCCAAAAAAACAGTGAATAAAAATATTAAAAACAGTTTGGTTTGTGTGGGAGTTTGTTCCATTCTTCTAGCTTGGGGTTTCTTTTCTCACATTTTGTTTAAGCAAGATTGAGGTGTATTTGCTTCCTATGTGTGACAGTGAGTGGGCAATGCAGACAGAGCGAGGTGGTCAGTAATGTGTGCCCTGAATTACAGCAGGAGGCTTGGCATCTGCAAGAAAGCACGGACCTACGAGCGGATAAAGTTTGGAAATGTGACATTGAGACTGGTGGTGTCCATGAGGGTCCCTGCAGCTGACCTCCCCTCTCCTGTCTGTCCACTGCGGAGCAGCCGTTTCCAAGACAACAGAAAGCTCTTTAGGGCATGTTAGTTATGCCATGAGTTACATGATCTATTCAATCCTGGAAACTTCATTCTTTAAAACAAGTAGGTTGGAGATGGTTACATTTTATAATTCATCCTATACATCTTTAAATGAAACAATATTCACCCTGCATATAAAATTAAAATTTTCTGAGAAGACTTAAAAAAGAATCAGTACAATAGGGTTACCTCCCAGTCCCAACCCCTCCCCCCTCCCCATGCCTGGAGAATTCCCCATGAGTTGGGATAGTCCTAAGGACAGTGGACTAATACCAGTGAGAATGTCATCATTTCACTTCTCTTTCATGAGGAGAGTGTTTTATATATTATATTACTTCAGATCTAGCTATGAGAGAGATTTGAAATGTTGAGGGATTGTTTCCTTTTCCTGGCAGAACTCATACCCATGATCAAATCAAATACCAGCCCATCCAGAGGAAGGTCTGTGCAGCTGTGGATGTCTTTAAATCCAGAATGCCCTCTGATTGCCCAACTGCTGCCAGATAAGGTCACTGATGCAGGTCCTTGTGATCTCATAGGAAGCTTAGAGTACCCTTGATCACATCAAGTTCAAGTTTGTGTTAACCACAGTCTAACTTCATAGCAATAATTGATACTAATCAATGATTAAGACTGTACCCAACATTATGTAGTAAACAGACTGTGATCCAGATTTGTTTATTCATTCCCTGAAATATTGTTCAGTCTCTTTTTTTGATATTAAAATATTTCTGATATGTAATATCAGAAAAACCTTAGATTTTTATGCCCATTATTTCCTCTGCTCCCCTCCGCTCCTCTTCTTCTATTTTGTCTCCCTTTCTTTTATGTCTTCCCTAACTTTATTGGCTTCTGCACATGCAGATGGGCTACTTGATCTCACTGTGAAATCTTCGCCTTCACTGTTTTCTTTGTAAAATTAGAAGAAAGAACAGGGTGATTTAGTGGGTAGTTAGTTGAAAGCATAAGGGCTTCTGAGAATTCTGTTTCTTGAATTCCAATAGAATCTATCATCTATATTTCTCCTAAACAAGCTGACTTGACTTTAATGGGTAGGAATAAAGCTGCTTTGTGCAAATGTCCAGAACAGTGGCTGACATACAGGAGCTGTTAAAAATGCCAACTGAATATGAGGTTAAGGGCTGAAGCTTATGTTGGGGGGGAAAGGATGTCCTGAATGAATTCCACAAACACAGCTTTTTTGGACCCCACCCCCACCCCAGACCAAAGAGATCCAAGACACCATACTACAAACCCCATAATGTCGTCACCATGGAAAGGAGGATTGCTGGGAACTGAGGGTGGAGTTAAGCAGTCAGGCTTGGTAGATAACCAGACATGTGGGCCTTGGGGGCCCTTGATTTTTCCCCAGCTTTCATTGTGTGCCATTGGGGTTCCAGCTCAGCAGAACTGAAAGAATGCATTCACCAATGTATCTCTCTCTCTTTCTCCCTGAGTATTTCTTTCTTCATTTCCCCTTCTTTGTAAATAAACCCATTATTAACCTTTCTGTATGTGTACCTGCAGTTGAGTCTCATTATAAATCTCTTTTAAGCATGCGGGTGAGGACCCACAGCCAGGCAACCCATTTCACATTGGGGTTGCCCTGTAACACTTAGACTAATTTGTCCAACTATTCAACAAATATTTATGAAGTTATTATTGAATGATAGTCACTCTGGTCCATATTGGAGAATCTAGAGGTGAATCTTATTCTGGAGAAAGACAAATATAAAATTTCAAAGCATGTGAAGTGTACAATATAGGATGAAGCACAGGCATTGTTAAAAGACAAAACCCAACCAAGCAACTTGGAGGCTGTCACTGCTTTCTAAAATGGTGTTTGAACCTGGCAGCATTGCCCACAGCAAGTGGAAAGGAGCTTCCAGGAGCTATACACAATAGAAGGTTCTCATGGGCAGAAAGGAAGTGATTGAGAATAGAGGAAAATGCTTCAGGCTCGGCTGCCTTCCCTCACCACCCTATGGGGTTTACTGAGGTCTATCTACCAGGCTGATTACCTTGCTTGGCTGATCAGGGAATACCCAGCTTCCAGGTTCAAGGTCACATTACTGAACTCTGAAACTGAAATTAGGTTAGGTCTTAACCCTTGGCTTGGTGACATGGACTGTGAGCCCAACTCTTCCATCTTGGACCTGTTGTCTCTTTTTACACAGTATCCTGGAATGATAGAAGGTGGCACCTAACCTAGTGAGGGCAGATTCACAAAATAATGTATTCATTTTATTCACGTCACTAACAATACTTATTGGGTGTTGGTGAATCTTTCAGGTACTTTCAAATAGGGCAAACTCCACTTGGATTTTATTCCTTCGCCGCTTCGACATTTTGCCATTTTTTAAAAAGATTTATCTATTTATGCATAGAAGAACTGGGGTACAGGCCAGAGGTGCAGGGGTGGGGAAGATGGAATTCGTGCTGCAGAGGCTGCAAATAGCTTCACAGTGCTGTGCTTAACCCCTTGGGCCACTAGGGAGGGCCCCTTTATGCCATTTTTTGCCAAGATGATTTGAGCAGACAGCTGCTCAAAAGGCTGAAAGTTTCCAAAAGGCTGGAAGCCAGAGGCTAAGGGTGACTGAGCAGATATGTGGGAGGATTTGAGTCTCAGGTGGATCGTTTCCATCCTACTCAGCAGATCCCTGGTCCTTGTACATGAGAAAAGGATAGTGATCAGGCTTAGTTGTCTCACCACATTATGTTATGGTTTCTGTTTTTTACTGATTTAAAATCTAAAATCTGTGATTCTTGGCTATCGATGTTTTAGTTTACGTTTGTACTCCTCCTATTACTTTGAAGGTTTAAAATTTTGTCCCAGTGGTTGTCTTTTTAACTATGACTTCATATTACACGTCATATTACTGACTGTGAGTTATAATGTGATTAATCTTTCCTTACTGATCTCCGTCCCCTCTACAATGTATTTTTGTTATAGTTTTTCTTAATTGTCCCTTAATACTTTCAAATACTTTCACCAGTGTAACTTGTCATCCTTGAGAGGTACGATTGACTGCCAGCGATAGAAGAAAAGGAAACCAGAATACCTTCCCCCCCAACTTTCGGGGACCGGCCTGTCTCCAGCAAGGTCTTGTCTTATTGGGGAAAACCTCTGTGTTTCCCTTACTCCACTTTCACTTTCTGTCCCTTCCACTTTTGAACACACATACACACACTAATACTTCCAAAAAAAGAAATCAAGACGTTCCATTTTTCCCTTTGTTAGTCTCAATGCTGGACATTTCACCACATCCCAGTTAAGATTTCTCTGTTATACTATAAAATTTTAGGTGTTTCTATCTTGAGTCTCTGCCTATAATTTTCTTTTCAGGAACTGTGGTGAATGGAACACACAGACACATATGTGCTGTTTTCTCCTTTGAGCTTTAGTTGTAATTTTCCTTTTTTTTTTTTAAGATGCATTTGTTTACGCATACAAGAGCTGGGTTGCAGGCCAGAGGTGCAGGGGTGAGAGGATTCAGCAGAGAGTGGAGAGCAGAACAGGCAGATCTACTGAAATACACTGGTGAGGGGAGTAGATGGTGAGCCAGGAGAGGTCTGCTGTTGCCATGTGGGTTTCTCCCTGGCTGGGGATCGAACTCATGCTGGAGTGTCTACAGATAGCTTCACAGTTCTGAGAAATAACCCCTTCTGCCATGAGGGAGGCCCCGAGTCATAATTTTCTAATATGACATTAATCCTATCCAGGGCACTTTTCATTTTTGATATTATTGTTTCCATCTCTCAATGTTTAATTTGTGTCTCTTTACATCTTCTATATCCTTATTTAATAAATTCAATCTTCTAATTTCCTGGATATATGGATGCAGTTATAATAACTGTCTGGATGTTCTTGTCTATTAATTGTGTTATCTATATCATTCTAAAAAAGTTTCAATGAATTGATTTTTGTCTTCATTATAGAAATTTTGATTGGATGCCAGAAGTTATGATTTTACTTTTTTGGGGGGTGGGTAGTAGTTACTTTTTTGTTTTTATGTTCCTGGGCATGATTGGTTACTTGAAAACATTTTGATTTTTCAGCTTGATCTTTGTGAGGTAGGATTCCAGAACTTTATCTTTGAATTTTTGCTCTTCCCCTCTGGCTTTTGGGACTCACCCCATCCTTGTGTGATCCCAGGGTACTGTCCCTGTCATCCTTTTATATTCATCTTTCCTTTATGGTTTCATCACAGACAAGCCCTAATCAGTCTTCACCTACGTTGAAGCAGGACCCTGCACCACACTGCCATCCATTCTCTGTGTGGCTTGTTCTTTATTGGCACTTTCCTGCTGACTATCTGTGTGGTCTTCCTGAACTCCGGCTCTTGTCTCCTCAACAGAGGGAGGCTGCTGAGTTCTTCCTGGGCCTCCAGCCACAGCCCAGACATTTTCCCCAGCTAGCAAACTGGACAATTATAAGATTCTTCTCATCATTTCTTGTCTCTCAGGAATAACTGTTCTTTATTATTTGATGTCTTGGTCATACTAGAATAATAAATCTTTGAATAAAGCAATTCCCAGCTTGATGACATGCATAAATTCCCTGACCTTAAGTCTGTTTCTTTTTTTTCAATTGAAATAATTATCACCTGGCCCTAACTCCTTCTTGCTATTATATTACATGTTGACAACAACCCATCTGTGTCAAAATTATATTCTTCACTCATACATTCATTTAGTTATGATTTTGATCTTTAGAGCACAATTATGCTGACCTTATTGTATTTATTGATGAATATAATATAATGGTTATGCTGATTATTAATCGACCTGGATTTGTTCAGTTTTTTTTTATTATTATTATTATTTTTAATAGAAGCATGTTATTATTTATTTGTTTGTTTGTTTGTTTGTTTGTTTGTTTTGTTTATACATGCACTGGGTACAGTCCGAAGCGCAGGAGGGTGAGAGAATTCACCAGAGCCAGAGTAGGGAGCAGAGCAGGCAGAAGGACCGAAGTACACTGCTGAGGGATGCAGTGGACGCGGCAGGAGAGGTCTGCGCACCATGTGGGACCCTCCTCCGGTGGCCGGGGAGCAGCCGGGGATCGAACCGGCGCCGCAGAGGCCGCGGGCAGCTTCGCAACCCAGCGCTCAACCGCTGCACCATCGGGGAGGCCCCTGTTCAGTTTTTAAAGATAGTGTTAGACTTTGTCCCCATATGAGGACATTTGAGGTTTAAAGAGAGTAATTATATGAATTGATCAGCACATGCTGGTCAGATGACTAGTCTGAAGTCAATCAAAACATCACTGTCAGAACCAGGGACAGCATTGAGAACAGGACTTTGAACCACTGGTCCTAACCTCTAGACCACACTTTCATCATTCAAAACCCTAAATGTGTCTAAGGAAGTGCTGTTGCTTTGTTAGAGTACTTATGTCAGCTGATAACTCTCAAGCTTGGAACTAGAAGTTCTCTCATATAATTAATGTACACTAGTTCCCCAT